TCAAATTGAACCCTAAACCCTGGGTTGGCCCCTAAAATCCTTTGAACAATATTAGTATATCGGGTCCCTCATTCAAGCCACTAGGGAAAATATTAAATATCCCAGGGGCCTACCCAGAACCCTAAACCCTCAAGGTTAGGCTCTGCTCGAGCCTTGATGAAGGCGTCAATGTTCGCGTGCATCTCATCATAGGACCTGAGCGAAGATGATTCAGTTCCTAGAAGCTGGGTTAACATTAGGGCTTGCAGGGATTAGATGTATGAATCAACCTATCTGATTAGGATAGGGTTCTAGGTCTGTGACACTATAACTGTATAATGGTTACAAAGGATTCCTACTGGCACGTTGTATAGCAGGCTTGTGCATTAGAAGCCTGGAAGTTGCAACATCGGCCTTCACCTACCGCAAGCAGGACCTAGGAGGACACAGTTCAAGCTGCAATCGCTCAAGCTGGCACTCATTTCTCAGTGCGGATCCCACAGGGATTGTCCTACTAGCAGCCTTGATAGTCTGCAGGGTCAAAGGAGAAATTGAGTTGAAGGTCTTCAAGCTCAACCTAAAGTACAGCCACTTGCCTTTAAGGACAAGCAGCCGCCTCCAAAATTGTATGCTGCCGCTCCGCCTGGCCATGACAGCGTTTCGCAGATGGCCTTAGAGCAAAAATGTAGAAGCGCCATGACCGAAGTCTCACAGGGTCGGGAGCTGTGCCTTTGGCAATTCCTTCTTGCCTTTTGGCATCCTCTTCCTGTTCTTGGCATCCAACGGAAGACGTGTCTCGCGGGAGACGCATGTGGACATCTCCTGAGCACTTGCATCCATGGAGACCTCGATGACATCAGGGATTGAGTACTTGCCCTTCTTGTAGTTGCCACTGAAGTCGTTGCCGTGCAGGTGCAAAACCTTGAAGCCGGCCCCCTGCAGGTTCTGCATGGTCCGCAAGAATTCAGTGTGACGCTTCTCATCGCTCAGGTCATGAAACTCGATCAGCAGCTGCCGGAACTTTGACAATGTCTCCTTGCTTGCAGTGCCAAGCGTAGGCCACTCGGCACCCTCGATGTCAATCTTCATAAGAAGACTACGATCGGGCAGCTTGTCTTTGCCGGACCTGACAATCGCCTGCTTCAGGGTCCAGGCTGGCTTGTCTGGGAAGCCCCCTTTGCCATTTTCACCTTGCAGGCAGGCCCGGAAGAACTTGCACTCGTCGCAAACTGCAGCAGGCTCATCCACGGTGCAGTCGTACTGGAAGATGGGGACCCCGAAGTTGTCATGGATGTCCAGGGACCAGAGGTCGTGGTGTTCAATGCCCATGGAGTATGCAGCACGGATGTCTTGAGATTCCATGTGGTCGACGCACGACAAGTAACCACCATCCCTCTTTTCGCCAAAGCGCCGCCATTGCTTGCAGCGGCCGCAGATGCGGAAGGAGCGGAGGAGGTCCTGGGTGGCACCAGGCTGCAGGGAATCGGCAAATTTCATGATCGAGTCCGAAAGGGCCAGGCCACTCAAAGCACCGTCTTCTTCGAAGTCGTGCCTCTTTTGAAGTAGGCACTCGGTGTCAGAGGCGTTCGATGGCTCCTTTCCCAGGCATTGCTGGACGAGGAGCATGACCAAAGATGCCCGTGCCATCATGGTCATGGTCTGATTGGTGGGGTTCGGGAAGCGGCTTGGGCTTGAAAATGCGGGCGAAGGCACGATGGAGAGTGAATTCCGGAACAGAACATGAAGGGAACATACGATAAATGGTAGGGATGAAACGCCGCTCTCGTCTTGGAAGGAACCAGTCTTCCAAGCTTGAGACCGTCCCTTTTGTTGGTGCGTAATGTAGGAAAGGCCCGAAAACCTTTTCAAGTGGGGATGATTTGTCAAGGTTGCTAGAGACTATGGTGCAAGGTCGGGAAAGGGCCAGGTTTCCTCCAACTATCCCTAGGGATCCAAGTACACTAATAATACCTACATTGGGCCCTACAGTCTGCGAATATTGCCTACATTGGGCTATTTGGATCCCTAGGGTACGATTTGAACAGTTCGTCATCTCCGCTTTTCACGCAAGGCAACACCCAAACAAGAAAGCGTGACAAGCTGTCAGATCCAGCTTTCATAGCAAAGTCGGGGAGACTAGATTATGGTAGAATATCGTGTACTATGGTATCATTCCATATATTATGGCATTTAAGCAAAAAGGAACTTATTCAAATGCATCAGCTTTTGCACATTTGAACTCATGATTCCCTCAAAGCCCCCAGCTGACCATTCCCATTCCCAAGCCCTACAGCCATAAACTCTCAAACCTCAATCCTAAATCCTAAACCCCTAAACCCTAGACCCTAAATCCTAAACACCTCAAAGGCGGGGAGCTTCACGGTGGCAGGCTCGTCAAGCCATTTGAGGAAGGCATTCCTAGGGTCAGGGTTTAGGGTATGGGCAGGACAGCGCAGAAGCCGGAACCAGGATAAAAGCTGTAGTCGCTTCTAGTTGTGTTCTGCAGCGTACCTGCCTGAAACATGGATATCAATACTCCAAAAAATCAGGCTAGGATTAGTCAATTGCACTAGCCTGGTTCATGATAAAGTTCTATGTGATCCCTCCATTGGTGGTCTTCGCATCATTGTCGCAGCTGCTGCCATCAGTACTGTCAATTCAACTAGTTATATGGCCGCCCTTGCTGGTGCAGTCGGTCTTTCTTCTCAATGCTATTGGGTGTTGAAGTAGCAGCAGTTGTTGCATTGCTGATTGCGGTGAGGATATGCAGCAGCAACTGTATGGCTGATAATTTTGGCAATCGCCATAGTAAATGTCATAACTTGGGCGATCCTGGCAGGCACTAGAAGTGGCAACAAAGGAGAACGGACAGTGCATCCGGGCCCACTAGTAATCCCTTCCCCTAAGAATGAACCCCCAACCCTCTGTCATACCACCCAGCAATATAGAACCTTTCTGTACTTGGGCGAATGTTTATGGTTAGGGGGTGTGGTGGTTCATTATTAGAGGAGGTGATTCATGCGTCTCAGGACCGCCCAACTCATAACCATGTCAAGCTCTGTAGGAGAAACGGAGGCTTAGGGCTTTATAGGGGTTAGAGACGAGAACAAGATCTGAAGCGCGACGGCCCCATCAAACATGCAATGCTTCTGCACTGGTTTGCATGCGAGTGCGTTCGCTTTGCGCCTTTCGGGTGCTATCTGCCGGACACAACTGCTCTCATATCTTGTTGCCCTTATTTGCTTTCGGTATGCATACATCCAGGCTCTCCTGCAACCCCAAACTGTAAAACCAACGAACTAGCATTCTTGCCCCAAAACTTCCAATCGCACCACAGAACCTTTTCACTGCCGAGGATCATGCACGCCATCACGAACGGATGGCCGGCAAAGGTGCCGATGACGTAGTTAATACGCGCTGCCTCTGGTTCAGGGATCAAGGGTTGCAGGTTTAGGGGTCAGAGATTGAGAATTTCTGGCTCTGGCAAGGCCCAGCACAAGGACAATTCTGAAAACTGCCATTTTACAAACCTCAGGCTGTGGCTGAGATCTTGCCATCCCCCAGCCACAGAACACGAAGCTTGCCGCGATGAGACGCGACCAAAACTACCACACTCTGTGACGACCCCAGAAGGCTTTCAGGTCTACTGGGCTTAAGTCAGAGGCAGGTTACTTATCGTATGCTTGCAGGCTATGCTGTGTGAATGACTTTTATCAGAGCATGGCGATCTGCCAAAATCAGAATCGCCAAAGAGAAGGAAGAAGATTGCATCCAAATAGTTCTTGTTGTAGCAGTATTGAGTAGCCATGCTTGAAGGTCATGTGATAATTTCTTTTGGACAACAAAATGTACCAACGGGATGAAAGAGGAAGTAAAACACCCACCCACCCACACAAAACAGGTTTATTTAAAACATTCCAGAACACATGCAATTCGCTTTACGGACCTCACTGCTTGGTATCTCTCCTTCAATCGGGTGGGCAGTGAGGTAGTAGGTCTAAACCACCATGGCTCTGGCATATGCCCCGGTGAGGTTCCTGAACAATGTCCCAGGCTTAGGCTTTAGGCCTTCTTGGCATCACCTCGTGCCATAAGGTCCTTCGGCCCGCACACGACGCCAATGGGCAGACCACCACCCAAGGTCCTTGGTTTCTGGAATCTCCCCACTTTTGCATGCCTCATGTAGAATACTTAGATGAACAATTGCATTGAAGTGAGGATGCTTAACATGAGGCTGAGGAGAATGATGTGGACCGAGGGCTTCAGATTATACTTTGCAGAAGCAGGGTTTCCAGCTTAAAAATCTCCATGATGCGAGTTCCGTGGAAATAGCTCAGCTGGAGGTGCCAAGTTCTGGCAGGTGCTGGACAGTTCGGAGAAACATAATGTGGCTTTGGGTCCATCCATCGTGCCGTAATTTTCAAATATGTCGAAACTCTAAGTTTGCTTCATATGGCCCTGGAAAGGAAACAGTCGCTCTTTGGCATTACAAGAAACAGGTCACACCTGAAAAAATGGCTGATCCCTAAAAACTCCTACATGCCCTAATCCCCCATTTTATCTTCCAGTGTCTTGTCCATTTGCTTCTCCATCATGGTGATTGAACAGGACACTAAACCCAGTCTATCCCTTTCTGTTCCACATATCTCAATATAACAACTGTATCCCTATATAATATCCCCATATAAGAGCCAGCTCCTCTATCCAAACAAGTTTAGGGATGGTTTGAGGTGTCGGGCTTGTTGAAGCGACTGTTCCGGCCCTGAAAGATCTGCCCGGCCACCTATGATGAAGATTGTACTGCTTCGAAGTCTAAAGTGTGGGCCCTTTCTCTTGGAAACCATCATACGGCAGTTTCCCTAAATAAGTGACCCCAATATAGACCGAAAAATGCTAATCCTTATTACAGAACACTCCCAAAAAAAGGTACCCCTAATTTTTGGAAACCATACTATAGGGCTTCGAGGGTTCGAGCCGCCCCCCCTTTCCGCGTGGGATGTCACGTTATTCTACTTCGGTGGCCGGGGTGGCCTGGTAAGTAGGTTCATCATGGGAATAACTAGAGTCACTAGACGGGTTATAGGGTTACCAGCTTACTTACTAGGTTTTTCTGACCGTCCAAGTAGATCTTCAGCGGACATTGGCTCCAAGTTCCTTTGAGCGAAACGAGCTAAAGCCTAAACCCTGAACCGTGTCCGGTCCCACACTAGAAATATTAATAGTACTGAGAGTAATAGTACCAGAAATAGTACCACTCAAGTCTTGAGGGCTTTAGGGATAGAAGGGCTCAACTCACGGCGCCACTATGGCCCACGCAGTACATGGGCCCCCCAAAAACTAACACCCTAGAAGGGCTTGCTGGCTACCATTAGGGTGTAGGGTTGAGGGTTTATGGGTATTAAGCCTATGATCCACTGTATTCAGCGACTGTATATGCGCAATGATCATAACACCTATTTCTTCACACCCAAATCCTGAAACCATCCGGAACCCCAAACCCTACCGTTTGGAAGCCACTCAAGGGCAAATGCAGCAATCTCAGCTTTGACGTTTCCGGACAAGCAGCTTCCCGTAGCAAACGATGTCGGCCTGTTCGGCTGGCTTTCATATACACATATATATATATGGGTTTAGGGTTTAGGATTTAGGGTGTGTGTGTGTATATATATATAAATAGGTCAAGAGGACCCCCCATCCTGTAATAGTGGTATAATAGGAAAATATGAGGACCCTAATATAATCCCTAATATCGCCTGTATAGTCACTATTCCTGGGTGAGGCGTCCCCCTAATATACAGGGAGTATAAAGGGTGTAGGGTTTACATGAGGAATACACACGCGATGCATAGTAGGGATTGCAGGCCCAACCGTGCAGAACCAGATGGAAAGACATGGGGAAAGGGCCACTACTATGGCCATATGGGGTCTTCTAGTATGAGCCCTAGAGAATCCTAAAGAGGATAGAATTCTCTGAAAAACCTACTTATTCCCAAGGTCTCTTAGAGCTTCCCTTTTTTTGAGATACTCCCAGATCAATTGAGGAGCTCAGAGAACTGAGGCATTGGGGGAGGGGGGGATAACCATAGCAAAACTGGGTTGCTGTTAAGGAACTTAACCTATCTCCCTATAATGGAGAATCAAATGGCAGAGAACACGGAAAATGGATTGGAAACTGGGGGAATTTAAGGATTCAAGGAACTTAGTTTAAGTTACTGTATTTGGGAAAACCATAATAATTACTATATGGCAACTTGATTTAAGTTCCTTAACAGCCACCCCAGAAAAGGGAATACATCCACTGAGACCTGTAGCGGACAGTCCTTGACGTCATAGGCCCCTTGTGCCCCCCGTGGGTGGAGGCGGAAGCCAGTATAGACCTGATGCTCGAAAGATTTAAGGGTTTGGGGTTTACAGTGAGGGGTCGGGTTTGGGGAAACGTTGAAGGTTTTTCCCCTCCAGTTAACCTCGCACGATGCGAGTCGCAAGGTATGATTGGCTTTGCGGGCTTTTGACTCAGAAATTCAGACTCTGGACTTAAACTTGCTTTGGCTTCCTCTATCAGCTCCCCGCCCGCAAGCGCTTGGGATACGCCCGCTTTGGAAGTAGCTTGGCGGGAAGGAACTCATAGGCTATGCCTCTTTGAGCTGGCTTTGCGTTGATGACGCCGTCTGGATCTGAAAATCCAGGCCCCGGCAAGACCATGGGTGTGTGCATATATATATATGTATATAGATATAGGGTTATATAAGGGTTACATTGGGATAATGGAAAAGAAGATGGAAGCTACTATTTAGGTCTTAGGGTGGGGGGTCCTCCTAGCATATACAGCACCACTGGGAGCAAAAGCCCCTAGAGATGATACTCATTCTAATTAGTTCTTGTCGTGCCCATGAGAGCAGAGACTATTGCAACACAACGGGGTGACAGAAGTACCCTCACGCTCCAACACACACAGGTATCATTACCTGCCTGCACGTATGCATATGTATGCAGGTATGCCAGGACACAAATGACACAAATCACCTAAAAAGGCTAGAGATGGCTAGAGCATTTCGAAGGCTAGGGTTTCACAATTGGGTCCTGCGGGCTTCGGAGGGTTTCCATATACCTTGCTTGTGCCAGGTCCGTCATGAAGCAGGGGAGATGGACCTCGGACGTGGACCTTCACTGACGACGGTCATATGGCTGTGAATCAACACCCCGTTTTGTCGCGGGCCCCCGCCCACCCCCAGTTACATACCCCTTTGTCGCGGCCTGTTGTTACATACCTTTGTCGCGAATGATTGGTGCAGGTATGCCCTACAAAAGAACCTTGTCGCAAAGGTGCTTGTCGCACGCAAGCCTAGATTCTGTTACAAACCTATGTCGCAGAATGGCCGCCGAAGCCTGTTACAAACCCAATGTTTTTGATTCACGGCCTTATAGGGCCTATAGGGTTGTATAAGGATTATTGCTCGAATTATGGAGCATCAAACGAACAAGAAAATGGAAAACTCATCGGAGACTATAGTAGGATCAATGGTCCCTTGCAGGCTTATCGTTTGCCTAGAGACTTATACATTGTTTAGAGCTAGGGTTTTCAGCTAGGGTTTACGACTTGTCAATACCCCGCCCCGAATCATACCTATCCCTATCATGAACTACCGTCAAAAGGTGAACATTTCTTATGACCTGGGATGGAGGGTAAGTATCAGGGGAAGGGATTGATGCTGCCTTTGATGGGGGACATCTTGCACCACCAACCTATGTGCCCGAGACCCTCCCGGCATCCTAGGTGGTGCATGTTGGTTTTAGGGTTTAGGGTGCTAGTACCCAGGTTTTTTCGAATGATGTGAAGATTCTTAGACTCAAGGCCCTCGGCTAAACAAAATGGCATTTAAGACCTCATCACATACCATACCACACGTTCCCTGAACAGAGCCCAAGGCGAAACTTTGTCCCTGTCCAAGAAGCCCAGGATTATTAAGCCCTCTTTTCGCATCCAGCCTGACTCTATCCCAAACCCGTAGAACCCTAAGGGTCCAAGTACCCAATAATCATATACTTACCCAAAACCTATAGTATAATTACTATTACCAATATCCCAAGTACCTAAATATTGGGTACATGGACCCTTAGGGGAAGCTGGACCCCCGATGCGCCTCGTCGAAAATCAGGCAAACGCCTGCGCGGGTGCATGTCTCCTTCAACTTGTGGAGCCACTCCTTGTATCCTGGTTTAGGGTTGATAGTAGGGTTTAGGGTTTAGGGGTCGGAAGTGGACAAGATCGAAACGGGACGTGGGAGCTTAGAGGCTAACTTGGAGTGTTTGGGGGGGCCCTAGAGTGCGTGTATGATGCGTTGGGGTACATGAAGTGGACCCGTATTCCTTTGAATACGCTTGTCCGCCTAGCACATACTGGACCACGTCATACGAGAGCATCAATATTATCACATCCTTCCCTTGAACAGAACTTTCATACCGGACGAAAAAGCATCTGGACCATTCCTAGCTGAGCGGCCAAGCGAAGGTTAAGAAATTTGAGCCAATAGGACTTCCGGCCTCACCTGGACTTGCAGTCGAGAACGAGAATAATGTTCTTGGATGGCGGCCACTAGGACAGCCTCTAGACAAATTGCGGAACAAAGCATGACGGCAATTACTCAGACCCTCTCAGCAGCTGCCCGCGCTATGACAGTCAAAGCTCATCTTACAATGCCAAGCTCCTTACACCCGCATGTTCCTGTGCAAAATGTTTTTGGAAACCTCTAATGGCTCGAGTAGAATCTAGGCGTGTAGACCCTTGCGCAGGCTGCGCGGCTGGCCAGTCAGTCCTGGCGTGGGCCCCACCTTTCTGTTGTTGGTGGAGAGCACCTTTGTTGAGGACTACCAGGATCAATTTGCTGAAGGAAATCACCGATGGTAGCAAAACCTGGTCCAGGCACGAGCAGAACCGATAAAGCTTCAAAACGACATACCACCCAGAGCCGACCCCTTTTAACTAGTCCAAAGACTCTCAGCATTTAAGTGAACCCATAGATCTAACTGAGTTGTCCTGCTTGGAAGTTACTGGGATTTGTAGAGTTGGTGCTATCAGCACCGTTCTTCAATTTCATTCATATCTATGGCTTTTTGTTTGGAACCTCACTTATGATTACCCACGCATCTCCCAGCCTCCAAACCCTAAACCATTAACTATTTCTACCAATGAAACTCCAGGTAGTGTGCGGCCAAGACACTGCGTCTCCCGGAGGAGACCTTGGTGGCTGTTCTTTTTCTCACGGATTAGAGTTTAGGGCCCGGGGTTTAATCTAGCCGCTTTAGGGATCAGCAGGTTGAAGTGTCAGTGTAGGGCTCAAGGAAGTCCATTGCATAATTTGCTTGAGGCTGCGTAGGTCACAACCTGCCAATTTGGCTATGACTTGAGCGTTCCCTACCTAGTCCCGAGCGGCCATGTGATGCAGTGAGACATACTTCTCCTTGTGCTGGAGAAGATCTCTGAAGGACACCCGCTACTGTTCGGACCAAAACTTTGTTATACAGGACTGTTTCGTTCATTCACGGCTATTCTCTGGGTTAAGCCCTAGGCCAAAAACCTCAATGCAGCCCAAAAGCCGACATGCATATCCTCAACCTAGACCTTACAAAGAGTCCTATAGCAATCCAGAACCGGGCGCAGCACACCGGACAAGTATCTCTATATCACCGCAGAAAAGAAATAAGAAAGCGTATGAGTTTACTGTGAAAGGACCAGAAAGACTAAGACCCTGAACCCTAAATGATCTGAACCCCTACCCCACAACCCCATCTTGGTTCCTGACTGGAAAGCAAGAACAACTTCATGTTCCTCATCTGGTGTCAGCATGTTCTAGCATAAGACAGATAAAGCTCATGTGCAACAATGATCCCAAAAAAAAGCCTAAACCCTAGTTCCTAAACCCTAAACTGTGCTTGCAACCCCAGGAGCTGATTGAGGTGGAAGCACTGAAGAGGGTTTACTAGGACTGCTGCAATCTCGCTGCCGCGGAGCTCGATCACCTTCGCAGATGACTCCATGCAGTTTAGAGAATAGGGTGGTTGGCAAAATAATGTTCCCTTTTTGGATCCCTATTATAATACCGCACCTAATATTTAGGGTACTCAAAAAAGGACCAGAATTTTGACAACCACCCAGTAGGGTTCAGGGAGTCCGCACTGTGGCTGTGGACTTTAGGCTGTAGGTTCTGGGGCTGCAGGCTAAAGAGAATAAGGCCCTGGCTTTTTTGGCTTTTCCCAAGTGCTTGCACTGTTTGACAGGCAATCTGTCTTTGAAAGCAAAGAGGCAAGTCTCTGCTATGTAGCACTTGTCTTTACCACAATAACTCTAAACCCTAAACCCTAAGGTTATAATAACCATACTCTACTTGATATGTAAGAGCTCTACTCACTCTGTGGCATGACCTAAACCAAACCAGCCTTCAAGGACAAGTTGTTCATGTCCTTCAAGCACAGGACATCCTGGGGGAGCCGCTCCTTGGCTGAATTGGATGCTTAAAAGAATTTAGGGCATGGGGCGTAGCAGTTTCCTGCTAGTGCGTATTGGGTGCCGGGGTTCCCTACACTTCCATGTCTTGGGGTGTAAGGTTCCTTTCCCAGGCTCGGTTATTCTGCTTCAAAGTTGAGGGGTCTAGCTCGTCATAGTTGCAAAAGTTGCGCAGATTTTCCAGGACTTGCAATTGGCTCTTCCAGTGGAAACTTTTTCACCTTGGAGGTCTGGAGGTTCAGGGCAACTATAACCTGCTAAGCACTGTACATAAATCCCAAGCATCACCATGATAAGAAAATCGAGGTGTTGTGTTGAAATGAATTGTAAGTACAGCCAGCTAGAAGATATATCTTGATATGACTACCCTGGACCTCGAAATTCCCTCCCACATCTAGGCTTGAAGGCAAGCCCTTTCTTGTTGCATCCAGCTTGCACTCCTCAGAACCGCTGACGAAACCCTAATTCCCTAAACCGAACAATCCACAACCCCAAACTCCCCTAACCCCACGCATCTGAAACCTTCGCTAAACCCCAAAGAGGCAATCCATCCTTACCCCCAAACCCTACAGCCTTAATTAGTATATACCCTATTATCGTAATTTCTATTTTCTTTTCCATTATCCCATATACCCCGACCCTAAACCCTAAACTCAAACCCTAAACCCTAAATCCTAAGCCAAGGTTCGTTTCCAGCCACAGGCTGCATGCCATCCCACCATCCGTGGTAGGCTCCGCCGAAGGTCACCACCAAAGGCTTCCTGAGCTTCTTAGGTCGGCTTTCAAGGGATAAAGGGGACATCTGGAGGCTGAATAAGGAGATTATAGGTATACATATTCAAGTACCTCCTTTTAGAGGGTTGAGAATATTCTTAAGTACCCCCTTCAAGAGAAATACAGGCAGGATATTTATCGGATTTTATGGGCTTCAAAGTTTTTTGGGTGTACGGATATTCTGCATGTTGCTGTCCAGGGCGTTCGGCATTAGGGATAATCTGTATTGATTCAATGTCTTCTGAGTTTTAATGTTGCAGACCTCTGTGCTAGGCCCTATGACTCGTGGTTGCAAGGCCTTGGAAACACTTATTGCAACATGTCATGCGCTGCAGGCTTTCTGCAGAAAGTCATCTGAGAAATGCTCAGGAATCACTTGCGAATGGAGTAGTCGGATTTAGCTGCATTCAGGGGATGCATAGCGCATCCGATCTTGGGTGGGGCCTTGCAGATTTGTTTTAGCGCTTTAGCGCTTTGGCCTTCGGATGCTTGCCTTTAATCGCCTATGCACCTGCCGAGTATTCTTGAAAGCTTGGGTTCCGTGCGGGGCGGCATGCTAGGCTGTGATGAAACGCTAACTCAACCTACATGGTTGCTACGTTCTCCAGCATCTCGAAAGTGATCAAAATCTGGGCATTTATCTGACTGAGCGTAGCACTGCTCCAGGACGGTCTTGCTGTCAAGGAGCTTCGTGTTGAAGCGGGCTACGCGCACGGCGCACATCACAGCCTTCTCATGCGAGCCCAAATCAAACTCGCCGTCAAGCTGGCCAGGTCAGCGACCGGCGACTCAATCCAACATTCAGCTTGCAAGAGGGTTTCCCCAAACTTCGGGAGTCCCCATCACAAGTTCTTTTGGGGGCTCCATGAGTGATTCAATCATGAAAGGCCTCTCACTGGCTCGAGCAGTGAAGATACAAAAAACTTGAGGCCGAAACGCTGAGTCGACATGGGCTCAGCAGCTCTGAATATGCACAGGGTGAAGTACGACTTTCACAAGCCACACCAGCAATACGACCCACACAGAGTCAACTAGCTAGTCGTATCAAATACCAACAAAATGTCAAGAATCCCAGTACACGGCGCCTCCGTGCCAGACATGTGGAACGACACCTCATCCTGACCGGAGATCTTGCCTGGAACGTGCGCACTCGGAGGGCGGGAGTCGGCCTAGAAACGAAACTCAGAACGAAGCACAACCAAGATGAGACAATCCTAGCGCAAGCCCCTTGGGCACCTTAACCTCTACCTGTCAGCTACTTCAAGTACTCCACAGTGCCACAGGGATTGAGATGACATGGTCTGCATGTCAGTCATGACTAACATGATTCGTGAATTTTGGTTTCGCTCATCATTGACTAATATTTCCAAACCCTGGGAGATGCGATCAATTTGTGAATCCCGGGCATTATCGGGAATCCTCCATTGAAGGAATGTCGAAATGCAGTTGTGTTTTTCTCTTGTTCGTTTGCAAGCCCGCATGCAAAGACAACAAGCTTGCTCACTGCAGCCCGAGCGCGCAGGCGCGCAATGTTGTCCAGGACAACATTGTCCAAGGATCCCAAGAAAAGGCCTCACTTAAACTGGCAACTTCCAGTTGCACTCTGCTGCGTGATTGTTGTCTTGGCTTTCAATGTCTGATCCATGCTATTGATTATTCGGCGGACAACTTGGACGCCTTATACACACACTCTCACCTACATATATATATATATGTATATTCCAGAGGAACCCTGTATACACACGTGTTAGGGGATTGTCGCCCTGAGCAGGTTCAATCGATCAACCTCGAATCCGTGGCCTGAAAGTAAGAAGATAGTGGTAGTAAGAGCGATAAAACTTGCAGCGCCGGCTTGCTAGAAATAGACTGACGAACCAAGACAAAAGTGAATATGTACTGCATGTCAGGAATGCGTACTGCATGTATGCAGCGTCTAGGCTATAGCAGGCACTCGTAGCACGGTTGGCACCATATACACTGGTTGCGTATCGAATTTCTCGAGAAAAAAGAGTTGCAGGTACGTCAGCTTCGTGTCCCGAGCTGATGTCACAGGACAGCAGAAAGGTCTTTGTTGGTGCCAAGCGTCTGCAAACCCCCTAGTACCTCTAAACCACCCCCTGCTGGCACGCACACACACACACACAACAAAAGCACATAATAAAACCGAACCGCATGTGAAGCTTGCACGGGATGGCCGAGCTACCAGGGAGTAAGGTTTTAACTTGCCAAGTGCGAGGAGAAGTCACCCACACCCAAACTTGAAATAAACCGCTCATTTTAAGCCTCTTCACGAACGTTGGGCACACAACTTTTAGCAATGCCTTGAAAATCTGGCTGCGCCCCTCTCGGCTCGCATCTAAAAGTGTCAGTGAACGAAGAAATTGAAAAAAATGAAGGCTTGCAACAGCTCAAGCAGAAATGTCCTAAAGCCTGCATCCCTGACCCAAGGGTTCTCCTAGGGATCCACGTACACAAATAATACCTACATTGGGCCCTAAAGTCTGTGAATATTGCCTACATTGGGCTATTTGGTAGTTTCCCAAAATTAAGGTACTCCAATATACACCCCAAAATACTATAATCCTTAATATGGGGACCCCCAATAAGGTACCCCTAATTTTGGGAAACTCCCATTTGGATCCCTAGGGTTCTGTCAAGGCAAGGGGCCCTGCTTCTTGGCATTGGCCCATCCGGCCTCAATGAAGTCCTGCAGATTAAGCATGCTGAGGAAACTAGTATTGCAAACGCCCCTGCCCTTGCATGGTCGCCTGGGAAGAATAGGGTGTGCTTGGTACTTCCCATTTCTCTTGCGATGCCAGCATCTGTTATGAGGCTTGTAGAAATGATTTTGCATTCACCCGTGTACGCCCGTGGAAGAACCTTGCCATCAACCACGGTTCGCTAGACCCCACTCGAAGCAAACAGCTGAGTCTTCTTGACTTTCCGCCTTTTGTACTTTTTATGACCTAAACCCTAAACCCTAAGGAACCTGATAGTCCTCTTATTCAGGAGGTTCGGATGGGAAGCAAGTTGGAGGCCACACTTCTGGTTCAACTAACCCAAAGGGTCCATGTAGGTATATGGTATATACTTAGGGCCCAAAGGGGTTCCCATATACCTACTGTAAGGGCTAAGTATATACCATATAGCTACATGGACCCTTTGGGTAATACATCAAGCAGCTTGGGGCACTTTGCTGCCCGGAACTCATAGTTAGTTCCGAAGTATTCATTGATTGGGTATCCAGGGCACACTCTGAACCCTGAACCCTGGACCCTACACCACGAGCCCGAATCCCTGAATCACGCGCGTCTTCCGAGCTTGCTCTCTGGCGTCCTGAAGCTGTTTGCACACGGGTAAGGAATCGCGGGGGTTCTTAGGAGTATACAGGCACATCATGAACCCTTTGGGTAATGAATGAATGAATTCATTATTTAATCAATTAGTTGATCAACTAATTATTTAGTTACGTAATTTATTACGAGAATCAAGTAGAACAGAACACTGAAGAGAAAATACAAAATAAGCCATGACGTCCAGTGGAGCACCTTTCAGCCTTGAAGGAGCTTCAGTACCCATAAGGAAACATTATGAAAAGCTTAGCACTGCAAGGCACCAAAAAGCAACGACAGCAACTTGTCGTCCTTGTACTTCTCGTAACCACAGACGTTGACGCCATAAGATCCGGAGATGTCCATGGAGCTATTCCTAGCTTCAACAAATTCGCTTAGAGTAGGATGGATTGGTTTGGGAGTGAGGGCTATTATTACCATTATTACTACTATTACTATTATTATTGTAGTCTAGGTTGGCCCCAAAGAACCCATTGAAAAATATTAGTATATAGGGTCCCCTATTAAAGCCATTAAGGAAAAATACTAAATGTCCCAGGGGCCTACCCAGCAGTTATCAAGATTACTATTACCATTATCACGATTACTATTAGTACTATTATGAGTACCATTATTATGTCTTGGCGGCTTTCCGAGGCTGAGCAATCTGTAAGGGGCGCTCCAAATTGTGGGGGTGGCTTTCTCTGGGTGCCCGTGTCACCGTCTGAGTTGGCCCCTAATTTTCCCTTTGAAAAATGTTAATATATAGGGCTTGGGGGGTTTAGGGGTTTAGGAGGTTCCCTATTAAAGTCATCAGAGAAAGCATCAAATATTCCAGGGGCCTACCCAGCCCTGGCATTCTGAATTTGGGGCATGTAGGCGGACCAGAGTTTCTCCTTTACCTATGCTTGTGTGCTGGAACTTGACGACCCTAGGTATTTGGGGGGGATTCAAGAAAAGAGGGTCCCTTCTGGGGCCCTTAATTCATGGACCCACCCATGGTGGCATTGATTGCAAGCGGATTCTGGGCTCTCTGCTGTTGCTTACGCAGGCCTTGTTTCAAGAAGCTCTGAGATATGCATGGGCAGTAGTTGGCTTGGGTGCAGCGCTAAAGTGATGGATGGCAAGCCTGCTCAAGTCTCCAGGCATCGTTGCAGCTACTCTCGTTTCTGCTGCAGTCTTTGAAATTCTTCATGCTGTTCTGGTAGCATGCCTACGGTTTTGGAACCTTTTTGTACTTGTTCCAGCTCTTAGGGCACTAAACCATGCTAAGCCCTAAACCCTAGTATAATTAGAAGGACTGAGGTTCTGATCCAGGTCGACCACATCCACACCCTCGGTGCGATCCAGGGCCATGGAGGGGTCTAGGTACTTCTGCATCACGCCGTTGAAGGCCGGGAAACACCTCACAGTAAGTCCCGGGGTTTACTCTAAGGGATTTGGAANNGAAATTATGATTTCAGCTAAATATTAGGATTGTTGGTAACAGAAATTAGAAATTATGTTCAGGAACCTTGTAGTTTAAGGGTTAGGGGCTTACGGTTACGTTCACAGTCACGGAAACGGAAAGAATCCGTGGATTGCAAAAAAAAACCAAGGCCGGTGGCTTAGAGGTTTGCGGGCGTTCAATCACTTCACGGGCAACGCGGAGCAAGGGTCTAAGCACTGTGTAAGTGATGGGTTCTGGGCAAAGCTCTTAACAGGGCTCCATCAAGAGATGGAATACTCACTCTATCTTTGACATGGATAAGACGCTTGATTGCGGACCCCTCCGCAACATTGCAACGAAGACCAAACCCTCTAGTCAGATACCCTAGCTGAAGCCCTGTGCCCAGAGAGCCCAATATTCCTTTTAATCAAGGAATATACCTAAAATGGTTTAAAGATGCCTGGTACGATCTAAGGCATATTGGGAACCATAGCCAAACCCGAGTCTCAACAGCTGGGGAACCCAGCAGCCACTAAAATATGGGGTTTAGGGCTCAAGGTTTAGGACGCACAGGCGACTTCTCCGAAAGGAGAGATGGCACTTGGCTTGAAGCTTCTGCTTCAAGATGATGTGGCAGGTTCTCAAGATGGTTGAACAGGTTCTGGTGATTCCTATACTGGGTCCCTTGCTCAAAACTCCATTGAAAAAACTGTTTAGCCTGAGAATGCACACCTTCCCTCTGCCTAGAACCTCATTCTGCAGGACGTTCTAAACCCTAAACCCCTAGACCCTAAACCCTCTACCTTATGAAGCTTTTCCCCTGCGCACTTTGGAGGTTCAGCAAAGATCATGGGGCCACTATGGGTCCCCGCAAGCTAAGGCCTCAGTAGGAAATACTGCGGATTATTAGGGCTTCTTAAGCCTTACTAGGCCTTATTGGCTTGGGGCGGCCCATGGTAGTCCCATGCGAAGAAGGGCCTTCTCAATATCAAGCTCACCTTGCATGTTCCGAAACAAGAGAATCCTCAGCAATCAGGCCTCCGAAAAGGGATCCAGGCTCCCTTGAGTTCAGGAACTTGAGTCAAGTTGCCATAATATGGTGCAAGAAATATGCAGGTCTCCTTATTTGGGCGGCTTAGTTAAAGTTTTGCACAGCAACCCAAACTGTGGTGGTACTTGCCGTCCCTAGTAATGAACATGCCTCGTTAAACTGTTGGTATTCCCTGACCAGTTTTCTCATGTTCCCGTTGATTCTGCATGAGGTAACTCAATTTAAGTTCCCTAGCAGCAGCCCAGAATACCTAGAAACGAAGCCCTAAGCCCCTAAACCACTAAAGCCTAAACTCTACAGGCCCTGTAAAGCCACAGTGGTGAATCTCCAACCTTGCTGAGGTGAACCGGAGGTCCGAGATCATCTTCTTCAACTCAGAGGAGAACTCCTGCTAAGCGAATTCCAAGGTTGTCAAACCTATGCTCCCTTCACAAAGGGTTTGAGGGGTTCAACATGGTAGATAGGTAATGGTAAGTAAGGCTATGTCTTTCAAAACCACTTTATGGTTTTCGGGGAAGTTAGGCGCACAGATTTTGGAAGTTCACAGGGTGAGGGACAAACAAACGGTGTACATGCGCAGGGCGTAGATGTTGACAATGCTAGGAATGGTGAGGCTTAGTCGAGTGTGGGTCCATGTTTGGGGTGCTGCGCAACATGCAGCATGTAGAGCAGGTATCAATGGGGTTACAAGTGCCATAATCCAGCTTGGACCTCTGCTTTTCCTGCTGCTGCGTGTCTTGTAAGCCCCTCACACATGAAGAGGTTGGAGGGGAGGTGGTTTATGTCGGGCGGGGCAGGCAGAATCCTGCGAAAAAACTTCAAATTTCTCAGGGGATACAAGAATGGGCCCCTACCTCAGTCCCTCTAATATGCAAATTCCTTGTTACCCACCAATCAGTCTTGAGCTACACTTTTCCCTGAAGCCCGGGCAAGGCCCGTTCTTGGGTAAATGACAGGTACCGTCTTAACAGTGGGTACTGCTCGCAACTGCAGACAGTTGCTAAACCCCAGAATTTTGGAAACATATGTACACATATATACTTATGTAAATAAGTACATGCACGCAGTAATGTCGAACTCTGAGGGGGTCAGTAGCTAAACTCTACAGCTTGTCTCCATTCCGGCTCGGGAGTGGATCGCGTGTCGCTTGAGTTCAAGGGTATAGTTACCCATTGGGGTAATATTAGGGTTATATAAGGGTTATATTGAGATAATGGAAAAGAAAATGGAAACTACTATTTAGGGTTTTTCAGACTCTCTCCAGATCTAAGCATGGAAGATGATGCTAGAAGATGCGAAACTTTCAGCCACGCCTTCTACTTTGCAGATCTCAGAGCTTTCATGCTTGCTTGATGTAGGAAATGAGGCTTATCCTTAGCGATGTGCCTTAACCCTAAACCCTAAGACCTAGAGAGAAACAATCATCCACACACTCGCCGTTCCTACCTAGCCTGCAGACATGAATTTGAGCAGGCTCCTGGCACTTGGGGTACTTCTTCTTCCTCACGCGTCTGCAAACAGAAGCCCGAAGGCTCCAAATAGCTCAAAATTGGTACTTACTTATATATACATATGAATATATATATATTCATATATATTTATATATAGAGAGACTTTAGACCCAATGGAGTACTATGTATGTCTATACACAAGAAATCCCAGGGAAAGAATGATGAGCTTTACAGGACAGGACGGAGCAGCCACAACACCTGAAGCTGTCAAGAGTGCTTTGATAGCAACAAGTTCAATTTAGTGGGGATGACGAGGAAAAATGGGGAAATATATCATATAGGGATTATGATGGGGGGCCGATATTCCCTTATGCTTGAAAACTTCTGCTGCTTGTAGAGGCGAGCTGCCACTTCTCGCTGAGCCTTAGCTGGCTCTTCCGATGACGACACATGTTTGCGAGAACGGCGCTAAAGCAAAACCAGTGATCCTTCGAGCAGAGTCACATCCAACATCTCACGGCTCCAGAAGGCTCAACAAGTCACACATCCGTGTCGCTCCATGGTATCTGCTAGGTGGCTGCATGCCTAATCCTGAAATTCTCAGCCCGGGTGTCAGAGTTCAGCTTCCTGTTCGGCTACTTTCCACAAATAAGGGACCCCAACATAAACCCCCAAATACTATAATCCTTATTATCGGGACCCCCCACCCCCACGGAACAAAAGTACCCCCAATTTGGGAAAACCCCTTGTTTTAACTCGAGCTTTGATCGTCTGTTTCTCCTCGTTACGGGTGGAAAGTCACTAGGCAGAGGGCTCAAGAGGAGAGGAAAACGAATGTGGGGGTATAGGAATTTTTAGGGTTCAGGTTTACGGCTTCATGGGTTCCCCTACTACCCCTCTTTATACTACGCCCCCTCGGTTCCCCCTGTGATTAAGGTTGCTTAGGGATAACTTGGCCATCAAGGGGGAAACTAGGGGGAGTAGTACAGAGGGGAGGAGTAAGGAAACCCATGATGAGCTTAGGAAATAAGCCCCAACATACTGGAGCGTACAATGGGGAACCTTTCGCCCACCCACCTTCATCTCACGTGTTGAGCCCGTGTGTTGAGAACAGTGTTCTGCAAGGTTCTTGGAGAGCTCCCACATGCATGCAGTAAAGTTTGGATACGGGCCCATAGCACTTATATAGGGCCAGTTTCAAGGGTATTGTTTGACTACATCTGGGGGGAATGGTGTAGGGGGCACTACCAAACCCACAGCATCCGAGCTTTTCAAGAACAGACCTATAGAACATCGGCGAGGGACTCCGGCAATTTGTTTGGAATTCCCGCAGGGGTAGCCTAAGAGGGGGCCCCACGATCTGTCGGAGAAATCCTAGTGCAAACCTTAGGCACCCTACAGTTGCCAAGAGGCTCCTTCATAGAGGCCCGCCGGCGCTCAGCCACCTCCGGCGAAGCACCGTCGCAGGAGAAGAACAGATCCTGTTCTTGAAAGGTTTAGAGCTGTTTTTGTGTAAGCTTCAGGTCTAGGATTTGAAGCCCTAAACCCTACACCCCTGAACTCTCCAGAATATAGGGCAGTGCAAGGCTTACTTGGGCAGCAAAGCCGAGGTTTGGAGGCTTAGGGGTTAGCTTTGGACATGTTGGGGCTTGAACTCCAGTCGTTTTTGCTGGAGTGACATCTCATGGTTGTTGCCCCAGGTTTTGGGGCTTCATATCAAGCTTTATTGATACGAGTCAGGAAGGAAAACAAATTCAAATTCTGGTCGAAGATGATGAAAACCCGGCCATGTGGTTAGAGCTACAGTTGAACAATGTGAAGAGGCCATTTCTTAAGACACTGCGTATCAACCCAGTTTCGATGTCATTGTCCATTTGACTCTCCACTACTCCAAGAAATTAGGCCGCTACGTTACATCTATGCCATGCTTGAGGTCAAATGACAAGTATGGTGCTGCAAGCCGACTTCGTATATTCAGCCTGTGCCCAAACACCGAACTCCATGCATGGCGTGTCAATGTAGCAGCCCGCAGCAAGGCTCGACCCCGTCACTCCCTGCAGGTTCTGATGAAGAGATTGCGATGTTTAGACTTGCAAACGCTCCTCCCGTTCCGTTGAATCAGAGGAGCGATCTCTTCTCTTGAAATTCTTGGAAATACCCATTTACTGGAACTCAAGGTTGGATAAGAGGAAGTCGGCCCCAAAACATACCATCCGTCCGTCAAGTTCTTTGTTTTCCAGAACTCCTGACCATCCCAACCCCTGTGGGCTCTGCCTCGTCAATTGTGTACTTCGGAAGGATCTTAGAGGCGAACTTGAAGGTCAAGGACAGCGGATAGGTGGCGACAAGGGTCAGGAGACGCTTGTACCTTGCTTTAGGGAATCCGGGCGGTAAGTGGGGTGAAAGCTTAAAGTCAAGTTGGGCCAGGGTGTCAGGGTTTGGCCTTTAAGGTTTCATGCGTTTCCAGTGCTGCGGCTTCTGCAGCAGTACCCTTTCGGGATGATGGTCTGAGCGACAAACATTGACGAGTGCTGGTAAAGGCATATCCGATGTAGAAAGAACCTACCCTCCCCAAACTAACATGGAACGCTATATAGCCCCCTTGTAAACGGCAAGTAGTCTACATGAGGCCCCCTTCCAGGTGCAATGTTAGTTTGCAAGAGACTCATTGAAAGGGCCTCAAAGGTCCTCCGTGTAATTTTTTGGTATAATCGTGTATAGCCTATATCAGGATTGAAGCTTGTGCGCGCAGTCGCCGTGAACCGTTAGAGCTGAAAAGCCGCAAACCCTCAGATTGCCAAAGCCAGTGCAATGTATAAAGGGACTCTACTGGGAACCCCAAGAATATAGTAGGTATATAATAGGAATATACCTACCAGGGTCCTTATATTCCATTATATTCAGACCGTAAACCCGGACGTTCAACTTTGAACGCTGTCTAAGAACATCTCCACCCCTCCAAACTTTTGTAAACCCAAATCCTCTCAGCCCCAAGCCGACACACCTAAGTTGTCACTGACTGTGGGAAGCCTAAAGCCCCAGTTACAGAAAACCGTTAAAGCACATTCAGGCCGATGCTCAGCTGTATACGGCACTGACCAGAAAGATCCCAAACTGCCAAGGCCGAGGTACAAGAAAGGTATAGCACGCAATCCAGCCACCGCGGCTAGAATGGCCACCTGCTGGGTTGCTGTTTGGAACTTAAGTTTAGTTACCATACTTTGGGTATATAGTAGACAATAGGGTGTCCTTACTATAGTAACTTCATTGAAGTTCCTTAACAGCAACCTAGCCTAGGGCAGGGTTCCTACAGGAGTTATATGGGGTTATCTGAAGGTATCTAGAGGCAGATAGAGGAGTCGACAACACATGAAGCTAGCATATGAACAGAAAGGGATCCGCCAGGAGGCGTGAGGTTTGGGGTGCATAGATGGCGGCAGGGCTTTTGGAGGCCCCCTGAGGCATCCAAAACTTTCCTGAAGCGATTGCGATTGGTGATACATGCCATGAATCCTGTAGTGTGCAGAAGTCACCAGCCCATGAAGTCCCACATCAAACTATATGCACATTGCACTCCCTGAATGAGCTTGGATTCTCTCTGCTTATGAAGATCTCCCTACCTGCTCCTCACTTACCGCCATTCCATACTGGTACGTTAATTGTGAATATCTCTGACCCCCTGGACTTGGCCCAATCATTTTGGAGGCCTACTTGGGGGTTTCCCAGAACTAGAAGTACCTTTTGGGGCGTCCCTATAGTAAGGGCAAATATAATATCTGGGGGTCTATATGACAGTCCTCCTATTCATGTAATCTGCAACTTTGGAGGAACCGTTTCTGGAAAGGACAGGTAGATCCTAAACCCTACGCCCTCAATCCTAAAGACTTCAGGACTGAACACTGAACGGCAGTTCTGTAGCAAGCCCAAAGCACGGTAAGTCTATCAGGGTCAACTCCAATACCTTTGGCCTCCAAAGCCCTAAGCATACAAAGTTCAAATTTCGGTGCCTGAGTAAATGCCAATATCATGTTGAGGTCTCTTTGAGGTACCCTATAGTTATACAACGAATCTAGGACGATCAAAATAGGTACTTCTTTGGGCCTTGGCCTAAATTCCTGTTCCCCTAAAAGGGGGAAATTTACATGGAGACCCGTATTGTAACAGGAACCTCGCCACAGGTCCCCTCTTTAGGCTTCTACATAACCCATGTGCCACCGTGTCGTCGTTATCAAAGCCCAGGCCGGATTTGAGGACGACGTAAAGAAGCCCGCCTGTCCTGACTGACTGGTTGTTAAGGGAATGAGGGGGTATGATCACTATATAAGCTAAAGTCTAAACTCCGAGTATCCCAACCCCCTTAACAGTCCCCTATATAATCCCTTTATAACTCCCTTTCAGCAATTTGACTATAGCTCACATAGTATTTTCCCTTAATTCCCTTCTATCCACAGTAAGCTGAACTGCGACGCAAGGACCGGGGTTTAGGGTTTAGGGTTTGGGATCTGGATTTAGGGTTGTGAGTTTCTCAAAATGCAGAGCCCCCCAAAAGACCACAGGAAGATGTTGGGATTACGAGGGGATTCTGGAGGTTCTTATTCAGGATTCTCCAGGTTGGCCCCTAAAACCCATTGAAAAATATTAGTATATAGGGTCCCCTATTAAAGCCATTAAGGAAAATATTAAATATCTCAGGGGCCTACCCAGTTCAGGATTCTGCAGGGGTTATTGCTGATTAACTCCCGGCTGAGGACTGAGGATCTGCGGCAGTTATTAATCACCAAAAGTTAGGAGTTACAATGCAACCCCCGCAAATTGTACCCAGGGTTTCAGGATCTAATAAGGACTAAGGACTATGTGGAGCTCAATACTGCCTAATAGGCTTCTATATTTGGGGGCGGGGGAGGGTACATGTCTAACTCCAAAAAAAGCACTTGGTGTAGAAGCTTCAACTTCCTACAAGCTATAGTTTTTCTTAAGTAGGTACAATATGGCTTTGGGTAGATTACAACAAGATCCCCAAATTACCCATATTCTATCTACTTAAGGAACGCTTCATGGCATACCGGGCGTCATGAGCCAGCAGTAGGCCATCTGGCCGATCTGCCCAAACCTGCAGTGAGCAGAGTACACGGGCCTACACAATATGTCTTCCTCTTTAACTGAAATAGGCTGAGGCATAATATGAGGCAGCTATAGCCGATAGCACCGAATGGTATCTTAATCATGAATGAGGCTTAAAATTCTCCAGGCTTGATTGCCGCATAGGGCTCGGGATTTATGGAAAAAGCTGCAGAGAGTGCCAAAAGCGGCCCTTACCTTAACCTGAAGCTCCAAGTTTACCACTGGATGAAGCAGGGTAGACTAAGAAGTTCGACAAATACCGGATGACGAGCGAATTTTGTTTATTGAGAGCCGCTATTTCAGTTCATGTTCATCCGGGGATTTTAGTTGCCCCAACCCTTGTCAGGGTCCGATGTTGTCCCCTTACTATCAGTTGACAATTGAAATCCCAAATCCTAAACCACACAAATCCCGGTCTTGTATTGGTTCGAAACAATCTCCGACCGTGCTACGTAACAGCGAGGTGCTACCCAGTCAGGATCCATGCGTCGCTCTAACTATGTCTCCAGATTAGGCCTGTGCAGACAATTATGGCTTTACTTTCCTGAGTGGATGTAGCACAATGTTCTCTATTGGGACAAGTATGAATCATAGTTCTATGTTCCTTGCGGCTCCTTCTTGGGCTTTAGTATAACAGAAAGAAGAATGTACATTCAACAACGACCCAGATGTAGGGGCTCACTGCGAGATCGCTTTCCACCGTTCTGAAGGGCCCCTTCATAAGAATTCCAGTGCTTGGGACTCTATCTTGGAGTCCTCATGTTTAGGGATGTTACCACCTAAAGCATCACAGCTGAATACGATTTGGAGAACGCTCAAAAGCGTTGAGCACGCGACGACAAACAAAACATTGCAACGCAACTCTCCCAAAGCGTTCATCTCCTCTGACCAACCCTTTCTCACCACCACTAGGGTAGGCTTGGTGGGCCCTACAAAAACTGAGTTTTATGGCGTTATATGGACTGTACAGGACTTAAGGGTAACAAAAACAAAGAAACAATTTCAAACCTATTCCTGACCAGTAGATTCAGTCAAAGCAGCGTCATGACGAAGAACAGAATGCCCATGAACTTCAAGAAGAAGCCTGGGTAGCCCTAAACCCAGAACCCTAAACCTAGGGCTCGCTGGCTCAGGGATGCCGGGGCTACAGTTGGGTTGAAAGTACAATGATAAGTGGGTCATACGTACAGGGTTCACATAGAGTCAATATGAGCTATGGTCTAAACTCCTAGCATCCCCCTTCATAACCCAAAACAGTCCCTATACGACCCCCCGCCCCCTTTAAGGAGTTTAGACTATAACTCATGCAGGGGTGTATAGGGCCTGCGGGTTTGTAGCTAGGCTTCACCGCCTCTCTGCACGACCTACAGCAGCCACGGAGTTAGAGGCAATGGGGCAAACTTGTAAGCACACAGGGTCACATGCAGCTTACTTTGGGTCAGTTGGGAATAAGGCAATATGTTATATAGGAATTATACAGGGAGTATATTGACGTATTCCCTACCTACCACCCGTCAGGTAGCGTAAAGGAGAGCAAAACCCTTCTCATGACGGGGACCAAGGGCTAAATACCATGCTCGTCCTTCAAGTGCAAGGGCTAAGTCAAGGAGCACTACGTTGGCATATTATTATTACGATTATTGTTATTATTCTAATTATTTTTATTACTATTACTATTATTGCTATTACAATTATTGCTATTGCTATTATTACTATTATTACTATTACCATTATTGCTATTACTATTATTATTACTATGCCTTCATCCCAGCTTTGGCCCGAACCCATGAGACACAAACAAAGGCTCTGAGCCTCTTGGCTCTCCGACCAAGAAAAGCCACAACTGTCTAGGTTGGCCCCTAAAACCCATTGAAAAATATTAGTATATAGGGTCCCCTATTAAAGCCATTAAGGAAAATATCAAATATCCCAGGGGCCTACCCAGCTGTTAATTATGTGAGCCCATATGGGGGTTTCCCAAAATTAGGGGTACCATTTTGGGGGTCCCCATAATAAGAACTATAGTATTTGGGGGTCTATATTGGGATTCTCCTATTTAGGGAAACTACCATATGTCAAAGTCTAACTCTAACCCCCACACCCCACCTCTGCTTCACTGAAGCTCAAACGCTTGGGCCCAGGCCCACGTGGGCCTCCATGCCGAATTGGCCCATGGTTGGGCTTCGTCTGCGCTTCTACGACTCGACGTCTCTCTTGTGCTAAGTCACTGGAGCCAGTCAAAGAGCAAAGGCCGGCGGCATGTTATGGTACGAGTACCAAGACATGAGCGGAAGAATAACAGCATCCTCTTCCAGCGAGGTTGGTAGAAAGCAGTGTAGAATAATCAGTCGTAACTATAACGAGTACTAACTTCTTGGTTTCATCTGCTGATGTAGCTTGATTGTACAAGTGACTAACCCGTAGCACCACGTGGTGGTCTCTAACAACAGGGGAACCCCGATTTAACCTCCAGTCTACTACAATCCTTATTCTAGGGATTTCTGGGAACCCCCCAAAGAAACAATGTCATCACACCTTGAATCGCACCTGGAAAAGCTCCAGCACGGCAGTGTCTCCGACAGTCGACAAGGGCATGTCTGGCACAAGGTCCTAGGTTTCAATGCAAAACAGAACATGGCCTCAGCCTCAGCTTGGCGGCCATCCCCTACATATACACCCAGCTTCCAAGTAATTGTTGTCCATTTTCTTTCCCTGCATAGTGGTACATCTAGGTACCTGGTGCATGCAGGGGCACACTGGCTTTGAAAGAAATGCACAGGCATGTGCAACCTTGATAAAATTTTTATCGGAAAGTTTTATCGGAGCACAACAGCAAAGCCCTCAAACTTTGATACAGCAAACGATTTTTTGCAGAAAGGCACCCTGCGATAATCAGAAATTTAGCCAGCCGCACATATATGAAGTGGCCGATTCAATGCCAGATCTGCAGACTGCACGAGCGAGGTCCTGCGAATGCGTACTTGGGGAGCCTTTGATGGCCCCTTTGATGATCCTCATTTGGCGCGGGCTGCCAGTCCACATCATCCCAGTCCACACCGTCCTTGAAAACATGCTGCCACAGGGCCGGAGCTTCAGAGCTGGCAGCCCGCACCATCCGCTTGTCTTCATCTCCATGATGGCTGCTAGCCGGACCCTGCTTGACACCGAGCTATTCGGGACCTGTTTTTGCCCTTCAACTTAATTTTTTCTCTTCCAACATCTTGAACACACCGAAAGTAAGCAGCTCTGGAACACAACTCCCCAAGCACCGGCCCTGTCGCCATCTGTTTTTGTGCATGACCCCGCTAAAAGCATTCGTCCAATACCATCCGCAGTTACAAACTTGGCTCTGGGATGCTGCTGGGATGCCGTGGCCGTCTTCGCCACGCTGCCAAGGACATCTGCAGCTCCGGCCACACCGGCCTGGAGTAGTTCTGTTCTGTTTGCGTAATGAGAGGATTTTGGTAACCCTAAGCAATGTAATAAGGACCCCATAACTGTCATAGCTTTCATTGGACTGTGGGCCAAAGCTGTTGCATTTGTGGGAGGTCTGCATGTTGAGGCTGCGACTATTTCAGGGCTTCTGAACTTGCGAAGCTTATTGTCAAGGCAAACCTGTAAGCCTCCAACCGCCAACTGGTAAGGCACGAAATCTTGCAGGACATTACAAGCTGCATAAGCTGGCCATTTCGCGTGAAGTCAAGGGATTAAACATTAAATCCCCAATTCGCATTACAGGCACCCAAAGTTGTGAGGGCATTTGATATCACGCATTTGCCAAGGCTTCTGCTCAACCATCCTTAATTGGGCCTAACCGTAACCAACACTAAGCAAACTTAATCAAGGGCGAAGCTTGGGAAGCCGTACAGTACAGGGCTGGTGCCTTGGAGCGAATGATGACAAAAATGTAGGACGCCCAGGCTGGTTCTACGTACCAGACGAGCATTTCCTCAAGAATGACACAAGTAACACAAGATGTTTGCATGTGACTCCGGGGGACACCTTGAACACTCATGATGCACAACCAACAAAACCGTGATATAGAAACCTTGCCCCGTGTAACAACAAGAACGTTTGTCTCGGATCGCCCATGATCGCACGCGATCTTCAATGTTTACGGCACAGGAAAGGCCCCATGCACATTAGTTAAGCTGGAGTTCTGGAAAAGGCAATTCAACCAGACCAGGAACCGGATGCCCGCCGCTACACTTCCCAGCTGTCATGGCCCTACGCCAAGGAATGTAGGCACCTGCATAGCAAATAGCTTGGGGCCCAAAAGGCTTTCTGCATACGTACTTCCGGGCCTACATATATACTAAATCAATGCCTAGAACTTTTGGGGAACTCTGAACCCTAAAACCCTTAACCCTAAACCAAAAAAATCCTAAAACTCTAAAACCCTAAACCCTATAACCCTAAACCAAAAAAACTCTAAACCCTAAAAGCCCTAAGATCAGGTTCCGGAGTCCTGGAACTAAACCCCCAAATCCTTAGCCCTTCAGCTGGAGGCTCCTGCCTGCAAACTTTCCGCAGGGTTTTCCATGGAGTCTGCAGCAAATGCCTTGGCTTGGGTTGAGGGTTGCCATCGGTTTATGTTGGGCCTATAGTTTCATCTTAGTTCTATGAATGTGGGCAAGCAAGCCGTGAGTGTAGAGGGCTGAGATGAGCAAAGAGACGTGGAATTCCTAATTTAAGCTGGAAAGCTTTCGAGCGTTCAGCTAAGCCCGTCTAGCTCAAGATCAAGCAGTAGAGTAGACCTGCAAGGAGAGTGCTGGCTCGAAGTCATACCCGTCATCATCAAATCATCATTATTATCACGAGTCAGGGCCTAAAACTTAGCATACTAGAAAGAGCGCAATGGTACAGACGTCTCGGGTGAAGCTAAGGGACTCTTCCCAGGACGGCTTCTTGGAGAACTCCAGACAAGTGAAATGTGGAGATTGGGTATCGCGTTCGGGAAGACAGCCACATCAGTCTAAACTTGAAACTCACCGTTCTCAAGCTGCAGCAATATATCATCTCCATAGCCACTCTGATTTCATGTTATCTGTATCATCTCTGCTTTACAGTTAGAGTTGGTACTAAATATGCTGCATCAACCCAAATATCTTATACCTGGAGAATTATGGTAGTATAGTGTACTGAAACCATGCACTGTGCAGGATTGGGTAGTTTCCCTGAATAGGGACCCCAATATAAACCCTCAAATATTACAATCCTCATTATTGGGCCCCCAAAATAGCACCCCCCCCCAATCTTGTACAAGACCATGTGATGCGTCAACAAAATCAACCATCATTTCAAGCAAATCGCAAAAGGGTCTCGAGCTTTGTCCACAACCTGCATGGCTTCCTTGCCCTCCTGCAAGGACTTCGTAATATGAGCAATAGTCGTACTAATAGCAATATGTAGAGCTGTTGTATATGTATGATAGCTGGGAACAAAGGTAGGGCCTGCATAGAGGCTCTGAACACGTCAAGAATATTGTAAGGATTGTATAAACTCCTGGTTCCCAATAAGCCCAATATCAAAAGGCTGTGAGCCACATTACCGCCCAAGGGCCCCAGCCGGCCCTACTTCAGTCCGTAGCTGGCCCGGCCACACGTACAGAATGAGCAAGTGGATCCCTAGAATTCGTGCGTAATCTTAGTCTCACGGACCCCACCCTACAACTAACAGTGATGTGTAGAACCCCTGAAAAGGTATACGACTACCACTTGCAGCATGATGGGGGACTGTTATAGGGTGAGACAGTATCCAAACTAATGCGCTAATCATACCCCCCCACACGCACCTCTGGTAGATATGAACACACCCAAGAAAGCCATTATACAACGGAGGGAATTGATAGAATTCAGAGGGTTGGGGGAGGGGTCATTCTTAGGGGAGGGGGGGGTCATTCTTAGGGAAGGGAAGTACGTAACCCCTTTGATATAAAACACCCCCTCAAGGAAGAGAAGGTAGGTAACCCTTTCGTGCAAAACATAACACACCCCCACCCCTTATACAAAATCTTCCCCATGCACAAAAAATCTCTGATTTGGGAAATGCTTCATGTTAGGGCTGTGGAATGTGTTGGGTATCAATCTGAAGCCTATAAATTGTACTAGTTTTCATTTTGTCTTCCATCCCCCTAAACCAACCCTTTTGTGGGGCTCTTAAAACGTTACTACAAGGGGAGGTAGTAGTATCAGGAGATTTGTCGATCCTGAGCAAGCTTCGCTGAGGCAACGCGGCTGGCAGAGCGTCGGGAGACATCGCTAGGTGTGACCTTCGGCGGATGGAGGAAATCTTGCACCACTTTAATAAGCCTTAGGGTTTGTTAAGATCTCCACTATCTGAAAAAATGTGGGGCCCCTTTGGAGTCCCCATAACAAGGATTCTAGTATTCTTGCGGCATACATTGGGTCAATCTGCTTCAAAAAATCGCCATATTGCAATTCCCAGCGTGTAAATTTAAAAGGGTGGGACAAGTTTTTCTCTATCCACAATTTCATCCACAGCTGCGCACTACAAACCCCAACGCCAACTCCACAGTGCCTAGCAGGAAATGAGGGAATTGGGTATCATACTTAGGGACTATGATCAGGGGTCTGAACTTGCACCCTCTCTGATAAGACCCCCTCCCTAAGAATTGGGGAGGCAGATACTTTAAACTGGAAATCCGCTAAACCCTAAACCCTAAGCCCTGGACCCTGAACCCCCTCTTTCTCAGGTGGGGCTGTGGCCCCTGGCGGCTGATTCACTGGGAACGGTCTGCCTTTCAAGAGGGTCCTCACGCATTAGTTAGGAGGACTCCCCACCCTTTAATACTATAAGGCTTAGGGTTTACGGGTTGAGGTTTTAGGAGGACCCCTCACCCTGTAATATCGGTATAATAGGAATATAATAGGACACGAATATAGTCCTTATTATCCCTTGTGGTCACTGTTGCAGGGTGGGGGGGGTCCACCGGACCTAATACATTATTAGCACGAAACTCTTCAAGCGGCCACCGAAACGCAGCAAAGTGAGCCTCTTCAATAAAGTCAGTGCCAAAAGGAAACCCCAAAACCAAGTTTTGGAGCCCAAACCCTCAACCCTAAGTTCTAAACCCTAAACCCTAAGTTCTAAACCCTAAACCCTAAACCCTAAACTCTATCCCCCGGAGAACATGCATGGAGCTCACCGAGTA